GGTTTGAGAAGGTCAATGGAAATGTCTGAAGGACTGGAAATAGGTTTGGGCAGAGGTGCAGCTTTACAGACAAGGACTCAGGGGATGCAGGAGTAGCCCACGGGGGTTAAGGAAGGGTTTGATATTTCTACAAATACCAGTCCTAGAGAAATTAAATGTAATCCCAGGGAGCTTTGGCAGATGGGCCCAACAAAGGACACAGAGCAGAAGCTGAGGGGAGACACATTCAGAATAATAAATATGAAACACAAAAATCAGAGAGTCAGAGAGTGATGGGATGGTTTGGGTGGGAAGGGACCTTAAAGCCCATCCAGTGCCACCCCCTGCCATGGGCAGGGACACCTCCCACCAGCCCAGGGTGCTCCAAGCCCCGTCCAACCTGTCCTGGAACACTTCCAGGGGTGGGGCAGCCACAGCTTCTCCGGGCAGCAAAACAAGATGTGTGTTTTTAATAGTGAATGTAAGTCAATAATTGTTAGAATTGATTTCCAAAGTGGTGGTGGAATTCCCATCGCTGAACCTTTCAAACCAGGAGGAGAGTGTTTTAAAATCCAATTCAGAATCAGGCTGATATTTTTTTTGGAAGTTTGATGGAAGCTGAGTTATCCCGGTGTTTGTTATTGCTTTAGGAGAGATGAAAAATGCAGACAAAACCATTAATGGAGTGTCCAAGTCAGGACTTTTACAGGATCCAGTGGGGGAACCCTGGACCTACATCCATAAGGGGATCAGGGAGTTGCTTTACTCGTAATTCCAAGAATGAGTGGGTGTTTCTGAAGCCATCTCTACCCCTTTTCACCTGCACTGCTGCAGCTAGGCTGGGTCAGTAACATAAAACATGGAAATTCAGCTCTTCCTGCTGTTTTGGTTCTCTTCTCTTCCCATGATCTCCCTGCATCCTCCTCCAGCTGTTCCTCTGCTCCCAGGGAACAGGGCCAGGAGGAGAGGGAACGGCCTCCAGCTGTGCCAGGGGAGGGGCAGGGGGGACAGCAGGAGGAATTTGTCCCTGGAAAGGGTGGTCAGGCCCTGGCAGGGGCTGCCCAGGGAGGTTTGGAGTGCCCAGCCCTGGAGGTGTCCCAGGCAGGCACTCAGAGCTCTGGGCTGGGGGACAGGGTGGGATCCATGGGCTGGGATGATTCTGTGTCCAGCTGGGACTTTCCTGGCTGCCAGAGGGTAATTCCATGTGAACTACACTCGGGTTTAGGTGTCAGTTCACTGAACAGAATTACTGGAACCCACAGGCTTCCCTTTTTTATGGAATTACCCTCTCTGTGATGGAAAGCAATAACACCTTTTGCAGTGTGCAGGTTTGATGAAGCAGAGGTGGTGTTTGCACGGATCAGTTTTCCTGGTGAGGAATCATTTTAAAATTTTCCATCACTGCTGTGGTGTTTCATGGATACGACAAGATCGTTTTTCCCTGGCTCTGGACCTGCCAAACACCACCCTCTGCCATTAAATCCTTGATTTTTCAAGGGCTGTGGAGACCCAGCTCCCGTGGGTGACACAGCCCTGGCACGGGACGTGGGATATTCACTGTCCTTGCCCAAAATAACTGTGCCAGCAGCGGCTGCCAGGCTGGACAGCTCGGAGCATGGTGTGCTGGAGGTGTCCTGGGGTCCTCAGAGCCCCAGGGCC